GCGGGCCAGAAACTCCATTTATTGCGGGTTTGTATGTTGCGAATTCCACAGAAAAAGTGCAGCCGTACTTTTCTATTGGCCCAGCTCATCACTGACTAGCAGTTTATAATTTCCACTGGTCGGCAGGTCAGAAACAAGAGGACACAGATCTAAGAAAATCGGTAACAACAACAACAACAACAAGATTCCATTTATAAAGCGCCTTTCACGTCAGGAGGACGTCCCAAGGCGCTGCACAGTTGGGTCATGACCCGAGCAGGGGGGAAATGGTCAGGGTGAGGGGAGGGAAGGGAGGGAGCGAGGAGGGGGAAGAGAGTCGAGAGGGGAGCTGAGGGTAAGAGAAGTGAATGGGAGGTTGAGCCAAAATCTCTACCAAGATGATGGCTGAAATGTTGCATAATCTGCCACAAAACAGAGTTGACACACAGCCAAACTGAGGCAGAGTCAATAATTTCTTTAAAAGGAAAATAGATATAATACCTGGAGGTAATATTCACCTCCATTTTAAAGCACTGACGCCGGACTCCATTACAATCCAGAGCTGTAAGAGGGTGTTGTTAAGACAATTAACTGAGTGCAGAGTCATCACATTTTTTAAACATTTTAGAAAGTAAACTACACCCAAGCAAGAAAAAGGGATAAAATACAGGGTGACCAAAAAATTGTGATACCATTACAATGTCTAATAAGTCTTAAAGAAATTATGATATTTTTGTTTGCTTTTAGATAATAGGGTAGATACCATGACTTTTTGGTCACCCTGTACTGCAGTTAATGGACAAAGTGTAATTGCTAAACAAAATGCATTTCACTCACACAGAAATAAGGCAGATATACAGGGCTTCTTGTGTATGAACGTGCAAATCACTGATCTGAAGGCCATAAAGAGTCATTAATTCTGGTATTTGGAGGCAAAATAGATACTTGGGATAATAATAATAATCCTTGCATTTGATATAGCGCTTTTTATGTCTTCTAGACGTCTCAAAGCGCTTCACAGAATATGCTGTGAAGTGAATTGACTGTATATTTGTGGGCGAAACGCTTTTTTTTCTCTTTTTTTGTGGGATGCAAGGGAATAAAGGATACAGATAAAAGTCAAGGCAATAGGATTAAGAAAGATAGGGACCAGTGTGGTTTCCTACAAAAAAAATTTAATTTACTTTACAGTAAACATCAATAATAAATTGATCACTTCAATCCACGACTATTTGTGGGTTACTGCGCAATTGGCTGCCGTGTTTCACCCACAAATATACAATCAATTCACTTTACAGTATATTCTGTGAAGCGCTTTGAGAAATCTCGACAACATGATAAGGCGCTATATCAAATGCAAGGATTATTATTGTTATATATTCTGTGAAGTGCTTTGAGAGGTCTCAATGATGTGATAAGGCGCTTTAACAAATATAAGGATTATCATTATAAAAATAGCAGAACAGGTTGGAAGGGCAAATTAGACTATAGCAGTCAGCCACAGTATGACCTGCAGGCTGGATCTGAACATTCGCGCTAGTCTAGGTAAGTCCGTGATGGATCAGTAGTGTGTTTCCAGGCTTTTTTCAATTGAATATTTCTTGATGTATAGCATAAATCAAGAAATATTCAATCAACAAAATGTATTGGCCGACCAAAACGACTGGCCACCACTGTGTCTCAACATTAACTGGGAAACAAAATTTCAACTACCCGACTCTCAACATTCTCTGTTGCTGCCAAAGTTATCAAAAGTGATCAAGAGGAGGTTAAGAATCTATTTAGGATTCTTAGAAAAACACTTCAGAGACTGACTGTGGCTCACCGATCTCTTGTAAAGCGTAACCAGCACAGATTATACATCTCGTCTGTTAATCCCTTTGAGCTCTACCACCAGACAGTTATTACAGAGCATCACACTATCGCATACGTTTCTACGTCAATACGGATTATACGTTCATTCAAACTCAAAACAGGTTTACCAGAAACCAAACTAGCCTGAGTAACCCCATTATTTCAACCATGGAAGCATGTGAATTTTAAATCTACATCTCAACATTCGTATCAATTATACATCTTATAAAAATTTAGAAACATTGATGCACCACAACATAAATATAGCAGTCCTTCAATACATTCACTCATATTGCATTGCATGCAGTTATCAGGGTTGTCACAAAGCTTACATTTACGTAAATAATTATTGTATTTTATTATGTCAAACAAACCATGTCAAAATGCTTTGCTGGGAATTGTTGCTAAATGCAGAGCCTGTATTCATAGGCAAACACAACAGTCATAATGCATGAAACTGTTTCCCATAAATAGCTACAAAGTGAATCATAAATGTATCCAATTTATTGTCAATTAGGAAACCACAAGAAACTCTTTTCTAACAGTATCAGGGGATATTTTAATTTCCACCTGAGAAGGAGGACAATATCTTGATTTAGTATCTCCTCTGCAGGACAGCACCTCTGACAATTCAGTGCGCGCCCCTAAGGAAATGTTCTGGTAAGAACATGATCAGGCTACGATGTGCCACGTTTGAGTAGCTGCCAACATCGTCTGCCTGGATTCATGCCCCAGACTGGTTCTACTTCAGAAAACAACCAGAAGTCAGCCAGTCAGTTGGTGCCTATAGGACTGCAAAGCAAAAAGTGAGCTTTGAGGTGAGTCACCATTGCCCTCTCCATAAAATAAAATTCACTCAATTCACCAAAATCTGATAACACTATATTCAAATTCCATCCACACATGCATACGTATGAAAGGGGTAAAGCCAGGAATTCAGAACTATATAAGATTTAACATGAACATTAACAAATCCACATTGAACATAGCAAAATGCTAAAAAGAATAAATTTATAAACTTTATGCAGTATATTACTCAGGACCAGGTCTCTTGGTAAGGTTACATATGGTTAAATCACGTGACATTATCTACTTTAAAACTTAATTCCAGATCTCCTGATACCAACAGATAAAAACGATATTAAAACAATCACTAGATGTTACTGTAGATACTGAGCTCCTAACATAAAGATTAAATGATATAAAGCAGTCACTAGAAGTTACTGTAGATACTGAGCTCCTGACAGAGAATAAACGGTATAAAAATTACTAGATGTTCCTAGCACTAACAGAGTAAATAATCTAAATCAGTCATCAGATGTCAGTGACACTAACAACGAGTAAACAATATAAAATAGTCACTAGATGTTAATGACACTAACAGAGAGCAAACAATATTAAAGTCACCAGATGTTACTGTAGATACTGAGCTCCTGATACTAACACAGAGAGTAAACCATATAAAAGTCACCACCACCACCACCTTGCATTTATATAACATCCCTCACGCAGGGTAGCATCCCAGAGGGCTTAAAAAAAATAATAATAATAATAACGATGTTACTGTAGACACTGAGCTCCTGCCACTAACACAGAGTAAACGGTATAAAGCAGTGCTGCCTGACCTGCTGTGTGTTTAGATTTCCAGCAACTGCAGTACTTTGCCCTTTGGTGTAAACCAGTGACAGGACGTTGCTGACACTTTAACAGATGGTAAAGCCGCGCTCGGCTGCCGCCCGGTGAGGAGGTGCGGGCACACCTGCTGGAGGCCTGTGTCCGATGGGAGAAGCTCACCTGACTGATGCGCTTCACGAGCTCGGAATAGGCGAGAGCGGCAGGCCCGAGCGGCGGGCGCGGGGCGGCGGGGCCACCGCCGAGCTCCTCTGCCAGCCCCATGGGTAGAAGGGCGAGATGCTGAGGCCACGCTTCAGACCCCGAGTCTCCTCCGGGCAGTGACGGCAGGGGCCGGGGGAGGTCAATACCCGGAGCCGGGGCCTGTCTCCCGTTCCTGTGGCAGCCGCTTCGCCCCGGCCACCATCCGGTTCATACACGTCAACAGAGCGAGCGTGTGCGTCCCTGCGCTACCTCACAACGTCACCACGCTCCCACCACAACGTCATCACGCTCCCACCACAGCGTCACCACGCTCCCACCAAAACGTCACCACGCTCCCACCACAGCGTCACCACGCTCCCACCATAGCGACACCACGCCCCCACCACAACGTCACCACGCTCCCAACACAGCGTCACCACGCTCACAGCACAGCGTCACCACGCTCACACCTCGGCGTGCACCGCCTCTCACCGTCACCACGCTCCCTGCTCAGTGTACGTGCTCACATGGACCACCTGCCCTGAGCCGAAGCAAAGCAATGCTCTCGCTGCACTGACTCGCTGCTACTTTTCTTGGCAACAACAATAATAATAATCATCCTTTCATTTAATACAGCACCTCATCACGCTGTTGCGACGTCTCAAAGCGTTTCACAGGATATACAACAACTTGCACTGATACAGCGTCCTTCCCGCGGGACAACATCTCGGAGCGCTTAACTGTGGTGGGGGGAAACGCGAGGGGAAATGGAGGGAGATGGGGGGGAAATGGAGGGAGGAGGTGACCACCAGCATGGTTGTCAGTGGTGATCTAAAAGAGGGAAGCAGGGGGCAAGACAGAGGATTGGGGGAGAATTCCAGAGTTTCAGGGCGTAAGTGGCTGAAAGCGCGGCCGCCGATGGTGGAGCCATAGCCAGCCGAGCGGAGGCAGCAGTTAGTGGAGTGGGGCGACTCCACATACGCTGTAAAGTGGATTGACTGTGTATTTTATGGGCAAAACACGGCAGCCAGTTTGCACCCAACAGTGCGCAGTCATGAAGTGAGTGACTAATGTTATCTGGGGGATTGTTGGCCAGGACACCAGGAGAGAGAGAAACCTTCCTTCTCTTTTCAATTAGTGCCATGGAATCTTTAATGTCCAACTGAGACAGAACCTCGGTTACTATTACTATTATTCTTCACATTCTAAAACGCTAAGAAAAATACTGTAAGTCTAGACCCAGATGAGGTTTCTTTCCCCCACTTCCCGAGCAATACCAGGCACTTTCTTCCTGGTGCAAGTAAAGCATGTACAAACTTTGTGAACTTCCATTTTAAAGAAAACCTACTTACAAACTCAGCGACTGGCTGAAGAAGGGGCCATCCATTCTCCTTGATCACCGAGATAACACTGTCTAATAGACCAATGATCCACGGCAGCTGCTGGCTGTCCGTCACCACTGTGTTGTCCAGAGAGAATGAGGGCTCCCGAGTTTCTATAACAGCACAAAACAAAAATAGAAATATGAATTCAAGCTCCTTTTCCCCTCCCACTTGTCAGCTCAGTTGGCTAAGCCCCTGCCAAGTGTAAACCTGAGGCTGGGAAGGTCTTGCGTGTTCACGTGACTGGGAAGGTCTCGCGTGTTCAAGTGCTCTGGGACGCTACCTTGAGTGAGGGGCACTCATATAAATGTAAGTTGTTGTTGTTGTATTCCTGTTCTTAGTCTGTATTGACTTTGTTGATCTCAGGTTGGGCATCAACAACAACAATCACATTTGTATAGGGCCTTTCACGTCGGGAGGATGTCGAGGCGTTTAAGCTTTCACTCAGTGGAGCAATCCAGCAGTTTTCACTCACCCAGTTCCTCCGTTCGGTGGCCCATTTCATCGCTCTCTTTGGCTGGAGTTGTGAACTTTGCCTCCTGCTGCTGTTTTTCCTTTCTCAGAGCCTCCTTTTCAACACCTTCACTGTCGGACATCCCAGCATTCTCGATGGATATCGGAGAAGACGGCTCTTGCTCGGTTGGTCCAGTGTACCCCCCTGCCTCAAAGGAACCCACTTTCCTTTCTGTCCCGTTGCCCTGGTCCCACTTTTCCAGCGGGTGCAAGTCTCCCTCGGTCGAGTTCACAGAGGGAGAATCTTCCTGACCCTTTGACATGTTCCCGCTGAATCCTGCAAAACGTGGGGCTTGATCTGTCTCGTCGCCTACTACCTTCTCGCCCTCTTCCTCCTCTTTCCTTTGTTGTGCAGCGCTCTGGGTAAAGTTTGGAGGCTGTTGTACTCTCGAGGTCTCCTCACTGTGTTCCTCCTCTCTCTCGTGTTGGGCAGCGCTCTCTGTTAAGCTTGGAGAGCGTTTCATTCCCAGAGACTTTTCAGCCGGTTCCTCCCCTCGCCCTCTATCTGCAGCACGTGGTTTGCCTGCCGCTACCTCTTCTCCTTTCTCCCCCATTCCCTCTTCACGTGCAAAACTCGCTGTTAGGTTTGAAGAAGAAAATTCTCCCTCCACCTCGTCTTGCAGCTCCTCTTCCTGCACTCCACTCTCGGTGAGGTTTGGAGAGTGAGGGATTGCTACTTTCTCATCTTCACCATCTTCCATCTCCTCATCATCATCCTCCTCCTCCTCTATTTGCTGTGTTGCATCACCCATGACGTTTGACGAAGGAAGTTCCTTTGCTGCCTCGGCCTCCTCCTCCCCCTGAGTTCTCTGTGACAAACTCTGTTCCTTCTCTCCCTCTCCTGGTTGGCTGGGTTCCAGAGATTCTAAGGAAAGCATTACAATCACACATTAACAGTATAGAAAGAGGCCATTCAATGTGCCTACACACATTCACCTACAGAATACACAGTGACTACAATTAACAGTGAATCCTGTGAAGTGCTTTGAGATGTCCTCCCAACATGAAAGTCATTATATCAAATGTAAGGATGATTATATTACTATTTTTATAAAACATTGTGACATTTTGATACATTTTTGAGTGAAACTTGCTTTGTAGGTTGGAAAGGGTGTCACATTCACCTCTTTTGTTTTCAATGCCTGTCTGTTGTTTAAATATAGAGTAGTGCTTTAAATACATTTTTTATGTATTTAACGTTTTTGATACTTATGGTGCCATCAAGTTTGACGCCAGCATCGATTGCAACAATTTGGCAGGTAATATGCAAATGAATGATTGGAAGTGTACTTGTCCTTTATTGGGCAACTGAGGGGAGGATTAGATTAGACCACAAGAAAGGCACCAATTATATCAATTGGTGCAATACAATTACCACTGGGTACCCTAATTCGGGGAGGGATCAATGCCCAAAAAAGAACAAGTGGCATGTGCTCATGGTGGCTATTTTCCTACTTGATGACAGCAAAGGTATGTGCTCTGACTATTAATGAGTAGTAGTCAGAGGTTGGTTCTTTGTGCACTTTTATATTAACCTCATTACAAATGGCTGCTAGAGCATGTAGCTTAGGTGTGATTAATGTTTGTTATCTCATAGCTGTGTTTGTTGATATTTATCATGTTGTTTTAAGATTTAATGCCGAGGGTTGTGGATTTCATCGAAGTTGCAATAAACTTCTGTTGAGCTAACTTAACAGTGTTTTCTTGAGCTTTCTGTATAAAACAAAGGAGAGAATACACAAACAGGTTCAGCCTAGGTCACAGAGGTCTGATTGACTGAAGCTTCCCAATTTGCTTTAATTTAAACAGCAATTCGTAGCACCCGTTGTTGTGGAAGAACTCATTAGTCAAGTTACACCTAATTATAGGGACTTGCATTCACTCGTGAGATTGAACAATGCACTGCGAGGGTGAGCGAGCCACATCGTGGGTGTACATATACGGGTGATAGAACCATCTCCAAGGGAAGCATATGGGAAGAAGGGGGGTTAAGAGGCCAATAAAAGTCCAGGCTCCCCATCCTGATCAGTATCTGTATAAAAGATGCTACCCAGCATGAAGGCCGCTATATAACTGCAAGTTGTTGTTGAAGATAGTGACTAGGGCTTTTGAAAGAGAAATTATAATAAGAATAATCCTTGCATTTGATACAGGGACTTATCATGTCATCAAGATGGCTCAAAGCGCTTCACTGTAACATGAATTGATTGTGTTTTGTGCACGAAACGCGGCAGTCAATAGGGCACAGCAGTGGACTGAGTGACCAAAGTATTAATATTTTTGTAGTTCACACTGTCAAAGTCTTTCACACACACACACACACACTCTCTGTATGATAATAATCCTTGCATTTGATATAGCGCCTTATCACGTTGTCAAGTAGTCTCAAAGCGCTTCACAGAATACAACAACAAAATTTATATAGCGCCATTCACGTCGGAAGGACATCCCAAGGGCTGGACAGTCAATGTTTTGGACCCGAGCTGGGGATCGGGATCTGGGAGGGTGGAGGGCAGGGTATGAAGGAGGGTGATCCAAGGCAGGGTCGAAGAGGAAGGTGTTGAGATGGGTTTTGAAGGAGGTAAGGGATGGGGGGAGGTGGAGGGACTGTGTGATGGAGTTCCAGAGGGTGGGGGCAGAGTGGCTGAAGGCTCGCCCACCAATGGTGGGGCGGGCGAAGCGAGAGACGTGAAGCAGCCCAGAGCCCACTGAGCGGAAGGAGCAGGCAGGTTGGTGGGGGGTTAAGAGGTCAGAGAGGTAGTGGGGAGCAAGCCCATGGAGGGCTTTGAAGGTGAGGACCAGATTCTTGAACTGTATCCCCTGCGGTGGGAAGCCAGTGGAGTCAGGCGAGGATGGGGGTGTTAGGGTCACGGATCCTGGTGCGGGAGAGGACACGGGTTGCAGAGTTCTGGATGATCTGCAGCCTATGGAGAGAGGAGTTGGTGAGACCAACAAGCAGGGAGTTTGCATAGTCAAGCCTGGATGTTATGAATGTGAATGAGGGTTTTGGCGGCCTGCGGTGTGAGACAGTGGCAGAGCCGGGCGATGTTGCGGAGGTGGGGAAAGACAGAGCGGATCATGGCATGGTTGTGGGGTAGAAAGGATAGTTGCGGGTCAAACAAGAAGCCAAGGTTCCGGACTGGCTTAGTAAGGTGAAGTGTACATCCTTGGATGGTGATGGTGTCAGCGCCTGACGTGTGGAGGCGCTGAGGGGAGCCAATAAGGAAGGCCTCGGTCTTGTTGACGTTCAACTGAAATTAGCTCTCATCCAGGACATGAAGGTGGAGAGTTGGGTGTCATCCACATATATGTGGAAGTTGACCCCGTGTCTGCGGATGATATCACCAAGATATTGAAGAGGAGGGGACCAAGGACAGAGCCCTGAGGAACGCTACACGAGACGGTGCGGGGGCTAGAGAAGAAACTGTGGAGATGAAGTGGAGATGGTATGAGAGGTAGGATCTGAACCAGTCAAAGACAGAACCATGAAGGTTGAGTTGAGAGGTGGTGGAGGAGGATAGAGTGGTCAATGGTATCGAAGGCAGCAGAGAGATCAAGGAGGATGTAGAGGCAGAGGGAGCCCTGGTCGCAGATTGTCACTTTAACCAAAGCTGTTTCTGTGCTGTGGGCGGCACGAAAACCTGATTGGATGGGTTCGTGAAGGATGTGGCGGGAGAGGAAGGAGCAAAGCTGGGAAGCAACAACTCATTCCAGGACCTTGGAAATGAAAAGGAGGGAGGAGATGGGGTGGTAGTTTGAAAGCAGGGATGGGTCCAGGAAAGGTTTTTTAAGGATAAGAGTGATGACGGCCGTTTTTAAAGGAGTGGGAACGGTGCCAGTGGACAGGGAGAGGTGTATGATGTCTGTGAGTAGAGGGGCAAGGAGGTGGAGCTGGGGGGTAAAGAGTGGGGTAGGGATGGGGTCGAGGGAACAGGTCGTCTGTTTCATGTGGGTCATAGTGGTGGCGAGAGAGAAGTGGGAGACAAGTTTGAAGGTGTGGAGGGAGGGATGGATAGGGACTGGGGTGTGATTGGGAGATGGGGAGGAAGGTAGACAGAAGGGCAGAGGCAGTTGAGCGGATTGCCTCGACTATGGAAATGCACTGTAAAGTGAATTGATTGTGTGTTTTATGGGCGAAACGCGGCAGCCAATTGTGCTCAGGAGTGTCCCACAAACAGTAGTGGATTGAGGGGGTTTATTATTTGGGGGGTTTATAAGGTTTCGCCCTGACCCGCCTGGGAATTGAACCTGGGTCCTCTCACTTGCAAGGCGAGTGCTCTAACCACTAAACCATGTGATAAAACATATACGTTCTCTCACTCATTTGCTCTCTCTCTCCTACTCTCACATACACTCACTCTCTCCTGCTGCGTAAGCGAGGTACTTGGATAGGATCATCCTGATATCTCTGTCTCACATACACACAACACACACACTCTCTCTCTCTCTCTCTTACATACAACGCACACTCTCACTCACACACTCTCTTAGGAAGAATTTCTTCACCCTGCTGGAAAGCGGGGGTTGAAAAGGTTAGTGGAGATGCATTAAAAAGGAGGCTAGATTTAAGAGAAGTCCCGTAGAGTAGCGGTTAGTGCGCTCGCTTCACAAGCGAGAGGACCCGGGTTTGATTTCTCAACAGGACAAAACCTTAGGCATATTTCTTAACTCCACACGCCTCTGTTTACTGTTTAGCAGTATGTAGGAACCCGGTTGTTAGTCGATTAGTGGATTGCTTTCCGGGGGTAATAATCCCTCCAAAAAAAATGTGGTCATTCAACCCATGACTTTTTGTGGAACACTGCTGAGTGCAATTTACTGCCTTGTTACATATAGTCAATTAAATAACTTTACAGTATATTCAATTAATTCACTTCACAGTATATTCTGTGAGGCACTTTGAGACTTCTCAATGACGTGATAAGGCGCTTTATCGAAAGCAAGGCGTATTATTATTAAATCCAGTGGACCTTTATTCAAAAGTGCATATGTGCAGCTTTGGGTTACGGTTGTGTTTTCTCCAATACTCTCCCCCCCTCACCATCGAATAGCCTTCTAATACTCTTTGACTGGACCTGGTGAGGGACTTAGTGTGTGGCTAATATCTACAGAAACATATCCTAACGCAGGTCCATGTCTTTAGGAGAGGTGGCGAGAACGTTAGAACCTGAATTTGCCTTTTTTTTAACCAGAGCCTTATCAAGTTATAACATCTCAAAGTGTAGTAAGGTGCTGTGTATCAACAGGCAAATTTGGCAGCCACTTTCCACACAGCAAAGGCCCACAAACAGCCATGAGCGGAATGACCAATTTTATCTGGGAGATTGTTGCCCAGGACACCAGGAGCAATTCCGTGATCTTTTCCAAAAGTCACACAGGATTTTTCAATGTCCACGTGTAGAAAAGGGATCCTGGAGTTCAGTTTAACATCTCCTCAAATGGGCGGTACCTCTGACAATGCAGCATTTCTGCAAATACTGGGTTGGACCGTCAGCTTAGACTGTGAGCCCAAACAACAACAATAACAATTTGTATTTATATAGGGTCCCTTCTCAATAGCGTCTCGGAGCACTTAACAGTGACAGAGCTTTTTGCCAAGCTGGTGAGAGGAGAGGAGACCGTAGACACGATCAAAGAGAAAGGTCTTCAGATGCGATCTGAAGATGGGCCAGGAGGGGGCAAGGCAGAGAGTTCCACAGTTTTCAGGGCTGAGTGGTTCCCAGTGATGGAGGGACACATAGAAGGCCGGAGCCAACTATATGAATAGAGTGAGTAGTGGAGTGGGTGTGAGCAGGTCAGAGAGGTAGGTCAAATTTGTAGTGAATGTGAAGATCTTGAAATCAATCCTTGTTCAACAGGAGCCAGTGGAATCTGGCAAGAACTAGGGTCACAGGATTTGATAGGGGTGAGAATGTGGGTGGCAGAGTTTCGGATCAGTTGGATTTTGTAGGTGGTGGAGCTGGGAAGACCGGCAAAGGTAGCATTGGAAAGATAAAGGCGGAAGGCGATGAATGCATGAATGAGGGTTTCAGCTGTATTGGGAAGTGAAGTATGGTCGGAGAAGGGCAATGTGGTGGAGGAAAGGTGGAGGAAAGTCATGATGTGGGGGTGAAATCATAATCTTTTGACTTGAAGATGAGAAACCTACCAACTGGGAAAAGGTTCTGGACCAAGTTGCAATCCAACTGAACATTCATAGAAGGGTACCGAGGAAAAAGACGCACAAAAAAAAACCTTACCATCACTGGGTAACTGTTTGTCTTCCTGTGGTGTGTTCACTGTTGGAGCGAGGAGAGTGCTATCCCTGCTGGTTGAGTACTTCTGCCTAATTTGGTATAGTAGCTCCTGGATGTCATCCAACAGCATTGTTTCTTTATCGTAATGTGGATCCTCTTCAACATGCAATCCTTCCATTTCAGCTCTTTGATCCAACATGTTTTCGATTTGGTCAAGGATCTTAGACTCCGACACCTCTAGAACATTGTCCAGAGCCTTTTCTAAATCCCCTCCAGTATTTGTGTGCTTGGTGACCCTCAGCTCTTCTTCCAGATCAAGGAACATGGCTTCCAGCTCCAACAAATGTTGGAGGCCAAAGTAGCCATAGAGGCGCTTGAGATGGTCCTCGTTAAAGTAGAGCTTCAGGAAAGTCAGCTGTTGCACTGACTCATTGAACTCCGGATCGGCAATTATCTTATCTTCATCTTCCAAGTCAGTATTTTTGTTGCCATAAACTGTATCTTCAAACTCTTCCTTTTCTTTCACTTTGGCCGAGTTCAATGGGTCTTTGCCTTCCAAGTCTCTTCCATCTTCTTCCAAGATGTTTTCTTCACTTGGTTGGCTCTTCCCTTGCCCACGGTGACCTGCGACCTTACCACCAACCTCTGATGAACGTTCCAAGCTATGATCCAGGTTTTCGCCACGTAGTCCCTCAGGTTGTTGGAAATCTAAAGGTGTTGGTCGTTTCTCACCTTTGGTCCCGCTCAGCTCACCCTGGGTCTTTGCATCATGGGCGCTTTCAGTTGGCAGGGTCTCAAATGCAAATTCATTGTCCTCTAACTCTGTGGCATTCTGCAGGTCCACATCTTCCACCCAACTGGCTGCTCCCATCTCCTGAGCATCTGAAGGCTGTTCATCATCATTATCGGCAGCAGCAGCACCTCCTAAATTATCCCTTCCTAACATTCTTGCAACCACTGCATTTTCATCCTCTAGCAATTCCTCATGTTCCTCAGAATCCACAAAGTAGGGCTCTTCATCAAAAGCCTCTTCTTCTGGAAGGTTGAATTGCTCCTCATCCATTTCTTCTTGGATTGTGTCCACCTCCGGTTCTAAGCCGCTCTCCAAAGGTTTTCCTGTTTTCTTTCCGTCATCACCCGGTTCATTCATGGTGCCTTCCCTTCCCTCCAGTAACCCTGCCGCCTCTTGACTCAGTGATTCTTCACTGTTCACGCCCATTTTGGCTCGGTCCATTGTGGCTTCACCCCGTGATTCCTCAGGGCCCAGCTCTTGAGCTGACGGACGCCCCTGCCCTAATACCCCATCGGTTCCATCCTGTGAGGTTGTGTCTCCATCCTCAGCAGATCTATTTTCAAAGATCCTCGAGGCTGACGAATTATCCACTTTGGTATCTGACTCTGTTTGCCCCACTTTTCCAGAGCTCCCGGTCTCCATCAAAGCTTCACCATCTGGTTGTTTTAGCGTTTGCCTCTCAAATCTTTCAACCTGCTCTTCTTCCTTTTCCAAACCTTCTTCACCCCCAACCTCATCTGCTCCAGTTTCCTCACTCAAACCTAACACCTTTACTTTTATCTCACTCTCTTTATGCAGTTCAGGATCTTGACTCTTTGACATAGGTTCAATGATTTTACCCGCCTCTGACGGCTTTTTGGGAGGCATTTCAGGATTATCAGATGCTAAAATCCCTGTAACAGTATCCCTGGAATCTTCTCTCGTCGGACCTGATCTCTCGCCCGTGGCTGTGTCAGTTTCAATGGACCCAACCACATCCAGTCGATTTTCCTCTTTTGACATACTGAGCAACAATATCCCTCTGGCTTCTTCTGAATCTTTACTGGTGCTCTTCTGTATCCGTTCTGGGATTTCATTGGAATCAGAGCTAGAAACGTCTATAATCTTTGCTGTGGATTCATCTCCACTCACAATTGCATAGACCGTTTCTCCCAGGGTGGTCAGTATGCCTCCACTTTGACCGCTCTCATCGCTGGACACTCCCCTGGGAAGCTCATCCTTGGTTTTATACTGTACCTGTTCCGTTACTCTGTTGTTATTTCCCAATGTTTCCTCTATGGTTCCATCCATTTTTCCCAATCTTTCCATTCTGACTCCATCCATTTTTTCCAATGGATCTGTGGTTCCATGAAGTTTTCCCATCGATTCCTCGATAGATCCATCCACATTTCCCAACAATTTCCCTACGATTCTGTGAGGTTTATCTAATGTTTCCTCTATGGCTACATCCATTCTCCCCACTGGTTCAAGTTTACTTCTTTCTGAATCCACAGTAATTACTGTCAGATCAGGAGCATCAGAAATACGTCCAGCGTTGCTTACAACGGACTTTCCAACTTGTTTTCTGTCAACATTTCCCTCTTGGTGCATGTCCTCACCCAGGAACCCTGACTGCTGTTGCATCTGATCATCCGAGTACGTGAGCAGAGGCACTTTCTCAGGAGACTCGGACCACTGAACGTCCTTCAGCTCTGCATCATCAACATCAAATTCAGGCTCTTCATTAAGTGCAGTGACTTTCCTTGTTACTTCATCGTCTGTCACCACAGCATCTATGGTTGACCCCAAACTGGTTTCCAAAAGTGGAAGAGAGTCCATTTGCTCAGGTTCCAGGGTCACACGTTCTGTTGAGTCCCATTGTTTACCTTGACCCTGAGAAATGTCTTTGGCACCTTCGCTTTGCCCTTCCCCATCTCCCCAAGACCCCGCCTGCAACCCCCCGGAGTCCGTGGTCAATTTGGAGCTTTTTAAGTCAGAGGGTCCACTACCTCGTGCCTCATTGCCTCCTACCCAGTGCTCTTCCAGGGATGTTGCGTTTTCACCCAGCTGGGTAGTTTTTTCTTCAAATGCTTCATCTTCAGAGGGAAGGATTTCTGTGCTGTTTCTTTTAATATCTTCAATGCTATCTCGACCTTCCGTCTCAATGCCACTGTTGGAAGGGAGGCTGCTCTCTGGTCGGAGCTTCTCTAATGCCCCATCAGTTTCAATGTTTCTCTCAGGCACTTTAGGGGTCCTTTCAAACCCAGAATCTATATCTTTCTGCAGGGCCTGTGGTCCTGAACCTTCATCCTCTTCCTGTGATTTGGATATTGAAGCATCATTGGTAAAGGTGTGAGATTCCATCTTAGCCTCGCTGACCCATCCTCCTCCTCCAAGCTGATCCAAGTCCACATGGTCAAATATTTCAGGTCCCCCATCAAAACAGACAAAATCTGTCTCCTGTAAGAGAAACAGAGATCTTAAAACTAACACTGGAAATGAAGGGCCTTCTTTATCTAAGTACCCTTGTGATTTTGTCAAATGCCATTAGGTGAATCGTCAATCAATCTGGAGGATTGTCTGACAAGACGCAGGGAGAAACTTGTTCTCTTGTCCAATAGTGGCAGATCTGAACAGGCAGACGGGACCTTGATTTAACTTCTCATCCAACTATCCAATTTTTACGAGATTCCACTGTATCCTGTATAGCCACACATTTTTGGGGGGTCAGCTGGGATGTTTAACATATGTGGAAACTCCTCATCGTGCTTACGAATATCGAAATCAGACAGAGTTCCATGCATGCAGCCCAATCCATAATAGGTAGAGTGGTCCTAGCTCGACAAGCAGCAGGAAAGCTTGCCAGACAGTACTATCAATGGTAAGCTATGCGGTTTTAGCTGGTTAGACTCCAGCAGTTAACCCAAAGCACACTCTGGGGTCCCCAAGCCTTTGCTCTTGCCAACCTGCATCTAATACTCGCAACAACAACAAGCATTTATATAGCACCCTTCACACTGGGTTGCATCCCGGAGCACTTGACAGCGGCGGAGTCTGACAACAACAACTTGGATTTATATAGTGCCCTCCACGCCGGACGGCGTCTCAGAGCGCTTCACAATAATGATCCCGGGGCCGAGCCAGGGGGAGGAAGGTGATCAAAGGCGCGGTCGAAAAGAAAGGTCTTCAGCTGAGAACTGAAAATAGGAAGAGAGGGGGCGAGGCGAAGGGATTGAGGAAGGGAGTTCCAGAGCCTCAGGGCGTAGTGGCTGAAGGCACAGCCGCCGATGGTGGAGCGGAGGACTTGGGGGACAAGGAGGAGGCCAAACCCGGTGGAGCGAAGGCAATGGGCACTAGTTGTGAGGAGAGAAGCGGTCAGACAGGTAGGGGGCTGCAGAGGAGGGAGCGATTTGAAGACAAGGGTGAGGATCTTGAAGTTGATCCTCTCTGGGACAGGCAGCCAGTGCAGTCTGGCAAGGACGGGGGTATGGTGCAAGTAAGAATACGAGCAGCAGAGTTTTGTATGACCTGGATTTTATGAATGGTAGTGGAGGGGAGGGCATTTGAATAGTCCAGCCGAGAGGTGACAAAGGCATGGACCAGGGTTTCAGCGGCTTTTGGAGTGAGGTATTGGCAGAGATGGGCGATGCGTCGGAGGAGGAAGAAAGCGGTGCTGGTGAGGGACCGGATGTGGGGGAGGAAGGATAATTGGACGCCTAGGTTGCGTACGGGTTCAGAGAGTTTTAGGGGGAGGTCGGGTAGGTGGAGGAGGTGAGGACCATGTGATTTTAGACGATGACAAGAGCCAAAGAGTATGGCTTCCTTCTTGTCAACGTTCAGCTGAAGGAAATTCACGCTGATCCAGCTCCTGAGGTCTGACACTGAGCCAGTGGGAGAGGGGAGGTGACCGAAAGCATAATCAAAAAGGAAGGTCTTTAGGCGAGATTCGAAACTGGGGAGGGATAGGGTAAGGCGGAGTGATTGAGGTGGGGGTAATTTCCAGAGATTCGGGGTGTTGTGGCTGAAGACACGGACACAGATAGTGAAACAGAGGGGACTAGGGACAAACAGGAGGCCAGAGCCAGACAAGCAGAGGCAGCAGGTGGTGGAGTGAGGACTAAGCAAATCGGATAGGTAGGGAGGTGCGAGGGCGTGAAGCGATTTGAAAACGAGAGGATCTTGAAATCGATTTGTTCGGTAATTGGGAGCCAGTGGAGCCTGGCAAGGACTGGTGTGATGGTGGTACGGAGTTTTGTGTGGGTGAGTATCCGGGCGGCGGAGTTTTGAATAAGTTGAATTTTGTGTATGATGGAGCTGGGGAGACCAGCAAAGAGAGCATTGGAACAGTCCAGCCGGGAAGTAACGAAGGAGTGGACGAGGGTTTTGTCTGCTTTGCTTGTGAGGTACAGACGGAAGAGGATACTGTCTCTCTAGAATTAGGTAAGCAGGATGCATCCCTCCAGGGAGAGAGTGCACATTCCATTCCAGCAACTTACCTTTGGAATTTCCATATGTAGGTGGGATGCATGGAATTCTCAGTTTGGGTTTTGATAATGGATTTCCGCATGTATCAGATACCCAGCTGACCAAAATAAATGCATGTTACCTAAACCTGGCCCATTTACACTACATTGCAACATTTCACAATCTGTCAATAACCCATTCACTCCTATCTATGAACTTTGTGAGTGGATTTGAACTTTTTTTCTTTCCCTCTTAGTTTTTGTTTAGCTGCTGCACATGCTCCTCCATCAATGGAATCAGGGACTTGTACAGCAATAAAAAGAGGCCATTTGTGTGTCAGCCTACCTCAGTAGAGTACCCTTGCCGAAGGGTAGCACTCACTGAGTCAAAAGGTTGTGGGTACAGATAGGACCACCCTGCCATTATGGCATTGGCTGCAGGGTTAATAGGAAACTTGCTGAGCTGCCATCAGCTCTGCTCTGGAATACTGCAGATACAACTGGCTCAGGAAACTGACTACCAAGTCCACCACGGAGGATGGACTCAATTCTAATATTCCATTGTCAGGCTTGACATGCAGAAGAGTTTCCAACCCCAAAGCAAACTCACCTCTACAGGCATTTCAATCTCATCCGTTGTGTAAACTAAATTCACATCAATTAAATCTTTAGGAAAATATCCAAACTGACTCCCCATCTGTAACAAAGAGAAAGAATCAGGAGATCAGAGAAAGACACAATTGGAAAGATGCAACAAACCAATGTGTGACAATGTTCAGAGAACTTGTCCAGTGCCCTACCTACAATACTGGGTACAAATCTGATCACTATCACAGTCAGGACATCTAGAGGTTCAATCCAGCAGAGGGCAATAGACTGATCAATAACTTGCAATTATACAGCGTATAGTTAAATGTCTCATAGCACTTCACAAAGATGGAGCGGGAACTCAAGAGGGTGGGAGATAGGAGGGTAGGATAGGGATGGCAAAAGGCACAGTCAAAGATGTAGGTTTTTGGAAGGGTTATGAAAGCAGAGACAGATAAAGACAGGGAAAGAGAGAGAGGATGCAAGACGGAAAGATTTGGGAAGAGTTTCAGTCGGAGGGAGGTAGCAAGATGGCTCAAGGCTTGTTGTCAATGGTGTGGTGAAAGGCCAGAAAGGCAGAGTAGAGGCAGTAGACTTGCAGGAGATCACGGGGTGGGGGAGGAGAGGTGGTAAGAGTATGGAGGCATTGAAAAATGACAACGAAGATTCTAAAAGCCAATCCGCAGCAGGGGGAAAGAGACAGAGAGACAATGAAGTTGGATGGGGGTGTTTGGGCTTGGGTGGCCTGGTTCAGGAAAGGATACACCATGTTTATGGACTATAGAAGTTGGGAAGACTAGCAGGCTCAGGGAGATCGCAATCAAGATCCTTATCTGTGTAGATAATAATAATCCTTGCATTTGATATACACATCGTTTTGATGTCTCAAAGCACTTCATAGGGTATATTGTGGAGTGACTGTATTTTGTGGGCAAAACATGTCAGTCAATGGCACACAGCAGTGTCCCACAAACAGTCGTAGATTGAGTGACCAATTTTTTAAAAAAACGGATTATTATCCCCAGAAAGTGACCAACAACCAGGTTTCTCTTGCTTGCAAGGCGAGTGCTCTAACCAATAAGCTCTTGGCTAAGCTAAATCCTAATGATATGTTTAACACAGTCACAAACTGCAACAAGGGGTGCAGACGAGGGAAGGTGAATAAACAGTTTGGTTGAGATACTTTGCGCAGACAGCAGTCGGTGTGTGGAATGAGTGCACAAGACAGATGCTGGAGGCAGATTGTGTCAGGGAATTAAGACAGTTGTCTGATGAAGAAATCATTGAGGTTTGCGAGAGATGGGGACATGTAAGATTATTTTCTTTTACTTTGAGACTGGTCAGATGGAGCGCAAAGGTCTTTTTCCAGTTCTGTACGTTGATGCGTTCACACAAGATCAACCTGCAAATAAAGTCCTTGTGAATTCCCAAAATATTCATGCAAACTATGCTTTACAACATTAATGTGTGCTATAATGTTCCAGTGTTGATTTCTGGTCTATGTACAATGGAATCTGAATCAACCCCCTGAGTTATGGAGGAATTTTGGAGGGTAGGAATTAGCCAGGGCTCCCAATCCAGAGGCCTGAGATTCTATCTGGTCGGTGCAGATTTTTGAAACAATTCCTACATTCAGGCAGGACAGTGATACAATGGCAAGCTATGCGTTTTTAGTTGGTCAGACTCCAGCAGTTACCCCAACACACATTCCGGAGTCCACAAGCCTTGGCTCTTGGCAACCTGCTCCTTATGCTCTCCAGAATTAAGTAAACAGGATGCATCCCTCCAGGGAGAGAGTGCACATTTCATTCCAACAATCTATCTCTGGGATTTCCACGTGTAGACAGGATGCATGGAATTCTCGGTTGGGTTTGGATACTCTTAAACATGGTGATGGGTTTCCTCATGTGTCAGGACACCTGGCTGACCAAAGAAAAGGCTTCATATACAAGCCAGTTTTCCACCATTCTCAAAGCAAACCGGCTTCCAAATTAGCAACTTGCACTTGAAATAATAAAAATCCTTGCATTTGAAACAGCGTCTTATCATATCAAGACATCTCAAAGATCATCACAGTATTTAATATAAAGGGTAGTGATTGGATATACGTAGGCAAATGCTTACAAATTTACCTTTTATTAGGATTGATGTAACAAGTAATAAAGACGGAAAAGCAGAACAGTGCTCAACAGAAGTCCAAGTGTAGAAACAACAAGAACTTTCTTTTATAAAGCACCCTTCTCACGGGGCAACATCTCGGAGCACTTAACAGTGGCTGAGCCTGACACCGAGCTGAGGGGAGGGAGGTGACCATAAGTACATTCGAAGAGGAAGGTCTTCAGTCATGATCTAAGAGGGTAAGGAGGGTGCAAGGTGGAGGGAATGAGGGAGAGCGTTCCAAAGCTTCCCGGAGTAGTGGCTGAAAACGTGGAGGCTGATGGTAGAACGAAGAGAACAAGGGACTTGCAGCAACAACAACAACAAAATTACTTTTGTAAAGCACTTTTCACGTCGGGAGGACGTTCCAAGGCGCTGGACAGACAGAGTTTCAGACCCGAGCTGGAGTCAGGATCAGGGAAGGTGGAGGGCAGGGGGGGAAGCAGGGTGTTCAAAAGCACCATTGAAGGAGGGTCTTGAGATGGGTCTTGAAGGAGGCAAGGGAGGGGGCGAGGCGGGGGGACTGCGGGATGGGTGTGCCAGAGGGTAGAGCAGAAGGCCCACCCACCAATAGTGGGACGAGCGAGGCGGGGGATGTGAAGCAGGCCGGAGCCCGCTGAGCGGAGGGAGGGAGCGAGCTGGTAGGGGCTTAGGAGGTCGCAGAGGTAGGGGGGAGCAAGACCATGGTGGACTTTGAAGGTGAGGACCAGGATCTTGAACTGTATCGTCTGTGTGATGGGAAGCCAGTGGAGTCGGGCGAAAATGGGGGTGATAGGGTCACGGAGCCTAGTGCGGGAGAGGACACGGGCTGCAGAGATCTGGATGATCTGCAGCCTATGGAGGGTGCAGTTGGGGAGGCCAACAAACAAGTAGTTTGCATAGTCGAGCCTCGGCGGCCTGCGGTGTGAGACAGTGGCAGAGCCAGGCGATGTTGCGGAGGTGGGGGAAGGCAGAGCAGGTCATGGAACAGATGTGGCATAGAAAGGATAGTTGAGGATCAAACAAGACACCAAAATTCTGGACTGGCTTAGCAAGGTGGAGTGTGAAACCATGGATGGTGATGCTGTCAGCGCCTGAGGTGTGGAGGCGCTGACAGGAGCCAATCAGGAGAGCCTTGGTCTTGTTAATGTTGATGTGCAACTGAAGAAAATTAGCTGAACAAAATCCAGGACAGCAGTGGTCCTCGACCCAAAGGTGCAGTTGGGTGTCATCCACATACATGTGGAAGTTAACGCCATGTCAGCAGATGATGTCACCAAGAGGGAGCATTTAGATATTGAAGAGGAGGGGACCAAGCACAGAGCACTGAGGAACACTGTACGAGATGGTGCAGGAGCCAGAGGAGAAACCATTTGTGGAGATGAAGTGGAGGCGGTGTGAGAGGTACGATCTAAACCAGTCAAGGACAGAGCCATGAAGGTTGAGGTGAGAGGAGAGTCGGTGGATGAGGATAGAGTGGTCGACAGTGTCGAAGGCAGCAGAGAGGTCAAGGAAGACGAGGAGGCAGAGGGAGCCCTGGTCGCAGATGGACAGAATGTCATTTGTTACTTTGATTAGGGCTGTTTCTGTGCTGTGGGCGGCACGGAAATCCGATTGGAGAGGTTTGTGAAGGCAGTGGTGGGAGATGAAGGAGCGAAGCTGGGAAGCAACAACTTGTTCCAGGACCTTTGAGTGAAAAGGAAGGTTGGAGATGGAGCGGTAGTTTAAGAGTAGAGATGGGTCCAGGGAGGGCTTTTTAAAGACAGGAGTGATGACGGCATTTTTTAATGGGGTGGGAACAGTTCCAGTGGACAGCGAGAGATTTATGATGTGAGTAGAGGGGCAAGGAGGTGGCATGCACCTGTGCTTTAAGGGAGCGGAGATGGCTGGTGTACCATGGAGTGTCAGCCTAGCCTATGGTGGGGCATTTTTTGTAAACTGAAAAAATGAAATCAGTCAACTAAAAATTAGTCTGCTCTAGATCACTATCCTTGACCACTCCCCTCACCATTAATGGCGTGTGGACGTCAAGTGAGGATAGGCTTGTGTTTGGGCATGATTCTCTCACCCTCCCCCCTAGAAGGTTGTGGGTTCAAGCCTGTCTTCAGGACATTCAGCTCATAGACTAGGTTGACACTCCAATGCAGTGCTGGGGGAGTGCGGTCCTTCAGACGAGACATTAAACTGAGCCCGTCTGTCTGTTCAGGTGAATATTAAAGATTCCATGGCGTTATTCAAAAAGGGAGTTACTCATGGTGTCCTGGCCAACAATACCTCACATAGAATTGGTCAGTCACTTCGTGGTTGTTTGTGGGAGATTGCTGTGCGCAAATTGATTGCTGGTTCACCCACAAAATACTTTACAGTAAATTGTGTGAAACATCTTTTGAGACACTTCGATGATGTAAAGGCGCTGTATCAAATGTAAGGATTATTATTAAAGCTAATTGGTGAGGTGCAGGATAGTAGTGGGCGCCTGTGAAGCTGTACACAACAACGAGTCAGTGTGTAATGAGAGAGAAAAATGAGAGGGGACGCGAGGGGAGGGGGAATTAAAAGACAAAACTTTATTTTTAAATTAGCAAATACAACATTAAAACATCAAAATCACCCAAGGGTGGGGGAGAGAGGCTAAAATCTGAGGGTAGAATCAATAGCTAATACCCACTAACTACATACAAAATCAGTACACAGGTCAATCCTGTTAAAATTCCGCAGGTCTGCCGATCTATAACATGGACCATACACTTCTATAGCTGACTGAACAGCTCCTGTTAATAGGACCCAGGTGCAGCAGGCCTCCCAACAGCTAGCGGTTTCCCGCAACTGCCAGAAATACTCATGAGAAAGTTGTCGGCTGCCTGTATGTGCAGGACGTGAGGTCAGCAGCGACCTGATAACTCAGACCTGCAGACTGGTGGCCTTTTTTTTTTGAACAGCAAGTCCTCTTATAATGCAAGGTGTGATTTTATC